CCGAACCCCCAACTGCTCCCCGGGCGCCGCAGCATAAATGGCTGCCCACTGCTGTGTGTGTTTGTTCACTGCTGTGTGTGTGTGTTCACTGCTGTGTGTGTGCACTTTGGATGGGTTAAACGCAGAGCACTAATTCCTAGTATGGGTAACCATACTTGGCCACATGTCACTTCACTTCACTTCACTTCACTTCACTTCACTTGGCCACATGTCACTTCACTTCACTTCACTTCACTTCACTAAGTCACAGCAGACTGAAATGAACTTTTTCCCACTATAAGAGAGTAGGGCTTGACGATGAACAAGCCCTACATATCGAGAGCACAGTAAAATTAATGTTGAAAACGATGATATGCTCTGGACATACCAGAGCTCTATGGATTAATCTTACAGGTTTAACTTGAAGAAATTATGACAGAAATATTACTGTTGTATACTAAAATGTAGGCCTAGTTCTCTAAGAAATAGGTAATAATAGAATTCTTTTTAAGGAATATCATGCAACCAAGATATTTTTTCATCAATGTTTTAATTTATACATTCTTATTTGACAAAAAAATAAAATGCAGTGTTTTGTTGTAAATTAGTTGTTATATTTTCATCTGATTACATTTTAAAAGATGGATTAAATTAATCAATTGATTAATTATTACCTTTGGTCATATTGCCTAGCCCTACGAGGCAATATTTGCCCTTGTCACTTGTGTTGTTATTATTTCATATACACACTTCAGAAATTGAGACCCTTGAATTGCAAAATCTCTTCATATTCACCATACCTCACATACCTGCATCTTTCTTATCTTTGTCTTACGATTGTAAGACAAAAAACAGATGCAGCAGTTAAAAGAATTGGTAAATGTTCCTCCATGCTGTATTTATTTTGGGACCTGAATTGTTTGTTTTGTTTTTTTTCCTCGACGCTTATAAGATTATGGTGACATTCTGAGATATGGGATGACATGGAAATGATGTTGTAGTCTTAAAATAGGTTTGCATACTTATAATAAAGCTCGGTTAAAGCATGAAATAGAGTCGTTCAGACAGCCCATAACTGGCAGTGTGAGCTGCTATTATTTGTCTGCAGTGGAAATGTGTATGCGTGACACTCAAGTGTTTTTGCATCTGTCCTGTGTTCACCCTCACCACCCCCCAAAACATCTCACGTTCTAGATTCACAGCATGCCTTCCATATGAACCGCTTCTCCCTGTGAGTTTTGATGGGGCTAAATGCATGCCAGACATCTGTAACTTACACTGACTATTTCAGGCCTTGCTAACATCGAAGCTTGTTATTTTTTTCTCATCTAGTCACAGCAAGGATTATAAATAGACCTGTCCTTATGAATCACATGGCATTGTTTACAAATGTCAACAGAGTGGGATGAGCACAAACTCTAAAGATGAGTGTTATAAGTGTTTCAGAAGTTTTAGGGCTTGCAAAATCATATCACCTCTTCAACTAGCCTTCAATCACAGCTATTGCTAGTAAACAAAAAGCTTTTCAGAAGGAAACATATATAACACATAACAATTCTACAGTTTGCACAAAGCATTCATCTTCTTAAGCAGTAAGAGTGGGCCTTGTTTTATAGAATAAATGCATGTGCATTATTAATTTAGTCAGATTGTATTTCATTGTAACTTACTGTATAATTGTGTTCATCAATGCTGAAATTCAGGTAATGTTTTAAAACTAAATATTTTTTTGCTAATGTAATTAGTAGGGGTGTGTCCACGATAATACCAGTATAAATTTGTACATGATAAAAAAGTGTCATATCATGATATCAATGATATAGCAACGTGATGACGTATGGCGGATATACGTTCCCTAGCGCGCACAACAAAAGCACCACAAACCCAATAGGTGTGTTCGACTTGAAGCAGCGCTGCGCAGACTGATCGGTGTATGAAATCAAAGTATTGCGAGAGCTGTTCTAGAGCATATTCGAGCGCACACTCTTACCTTCAAAAATAGGCAAGCGCATATCTTTAGCGAAGCGGCGTGGAGAGCTTCTGAAACGTGCCGCGGCTCCGCTGGTGTAAACACAAGCATTGACTAGAGTGGCCGCGTCGGAGCCATAAAGGCCCGGGTATACTTCACTTTCCGCGTTCCGTCTCGCGCACAGCCACGTACGCACAGCTTTCAAGGTATACTCAACCGCGGATGAGCGCGGACGAACGAGCTCGACACATATGCGCAGTACCACCTACTCTTGTCTCAACATTCACCTCGTGCATGCACTGTTGTACGCGCACGGTCCGCGCGGTCTCAAAAAATTTCCTGCACGCGGACGGGGTGCGCGGCTCTCTGCGAGCCCTCCTGATAACGAAAATGACGTAATGCGGACAGTACGCGGACGGCCGTAGTACTTTGGCCTTAACGCACCGCAAAGGATGGAAAATGCTCTTCATTTTGTTTGCACTAATAAATGCTGCTGCCTGCCAGCTGCAATTACCAATAAAACGTTGTTTCATGTTTTTTTTCTATATCGTCATAAATATCGTTATCGCAAATATTCTTGAAATATCGTGATATAGTTTTAAGGCTATATCGTCCACCCCTAGTAATTAGGGCCCTGTGTTTTATTTTTTCCCAGTTTCCATTTTATGTTTTTCTCAAATTCTGTTTTAATGGTTTAATTTTATTTTATTAATCTTTTTCAGCAATTTATTAAAATTTTATAATCATTAAAATTTTACAATGAAATAGTTTATTTTTTACAATAATTGAACCATATGAACTTATTTTTTCATAATTTCTATATTGTCTCTTAATTTTTCTGGATTTAGAATTTAATAAAAATTTATTATCATGGTGGTACTCAAATGAAGACATAAAGCATGTAAATAATACAATGTAATTAATATTTTACAATGTAATGAAATGAAAATGTAAAATTAAACATGGAATAAAATGTGTGATACTCATTAAAAATGAAGTTTTAATGTGTTTATTATTATATATAGAAGTGCAATGCTATAATTTCTTATAATTTCGTTATAATTTCTTCAAGTTAAACCAGACCCTAATTTTGGTGGGTTGTAGTGAAGACCATTGAGTTTCTGTGTATCTGACAATAGTTTAATCAAATTAAATGATGAAATGCTGGTGAAGTGACTCTCCGAGCAGCTCTGGAGATGAATTTTGTGTGTTCATATAGTGAGACAGAAGACACTGAAAACATCACAAACATCAGGCATACTTGAGTATGTGTAGTAGATGAAAAATGTGCCGCTCATTCACTGAGAAACGCAGAACATGCAGACTTTAAATTTAAATAGCAGTCTTTTTACTTTTGAGTTATGCATTCAAAATTCGCCTAATTCCGTGACATTCCGCATTATACAGTAAATTACATTTTTATGACTGGGTTCCGTGATTCTGTCCACGTTTTCTCCATTGCATAAATTAGCTTTCAGTTAATCAGAGAGATATATCTGATTTAAAATAATCCAATCTATTCTTCCTAATACCTCATTCATGATATCCTTCCATAGGTTTTATTCCCTGTTGGGCTGGGTCTTTAATTGTTAACAAGTACTTGTCCATCAATCTTTTTTTTTCAGCATTAACATATTCTAACATTGTATCTTCTGCCATGGCAGCCTAATATCTGTCTGTGCACGGTGTTATGTGTTAACAAACTGTAATTTGTCTCACCTGACAACACTGTAGCACCTGACCAATTAATACTAGCACTTACCTATTCTATTCTATTCGTTTTGGTCTAATTTATTTATTTTTTTAAACTTGCAATGTGTACTGTGTTAGACTAACTGAGATTTGTCACAGCACTTGTATACTGTTGCTCTCTTGTTGCTGTGATTGCTTCTATTGTTCTCCTCATTTGTAAGTCGCTTTGGATAAGAGCGTCTGCTAAATGACTAAATGTAAATGTAAAGGAAAATGTAAATGATTTATAAATATATCCTTTTAAACATTTATAAATTAAATATGTAATTTTTGGCTTACTTAACGCCCTGTCTCTAAGTCTTTGTGGGTGTCACCGAGCAGTTGATTCTGCCTAAAAGATACGTCTTTAAAAGCAGCCAGAATATAGAAAAACGTATAACCTAATTATGCGTAATATGAAAGGCCGGGCTGAGCAGATGCCTGAAAGAAACTCCAGAGCCTGCAGATCAGCCCGGGTGTGCAGCACAAGTCTTTTCAAGGCTGCTGATGTGGATCTGTAAAGCCTATTAAACAGAGCTCTTCCTGAATTAGCTCATTAGCATCATCACAGTCTTCATTCATGAGCTCGCGTTGCTGGGCTGACATCACTGAGGACGCATCACGGAACTAAAAATGAGCTTCAGCACAGAGGCATGATAGGATTATTCAGCCCTTCCCACTAGCTGCTATTCTGTCCTTCCCACACATGTGCATCTGTCTGAGCTTCTTTATTCAGCATACCACATATACTGTTCAAACGTTTGATCTTCTTCATTATATTAGTGTTCTGAAGTTATATTCCATGCACAATCTTCACTATACATTTTGACTTTCTCTTTACCCAAACTAGTGTTGTCATAAGTTCAGGTACCAATGTGTCAAAGCATGGGCCTGAAGTCGAAACTTGAATTTGGATTGGTACGGAATAATGATTGGACTTGGCAGAATGTACAGAATGGAATTTAAACACTCAAATAGAGGAGTGTTAAGATAATATTTACTATTCAGTTTTTGGTAATGAATTATCATCAGTAATTGTGTGTTGATTTGTCATAAAATTGCATGACTGTGGCTTTGGACTTTAAAAACAACTGCCAATTTAAAAGGCTTGAATGCACAAGAAGTAAAAAATGACACATTGTTATTAATGTAGAATCACTATTGAAACAATAATTTAGTCCATAATCTGAAATAGATTGAGTCTTGAGTCATAATGTGCAATTCATATGAACTTAATCAATGAAAATGTTTTTTTTTATTACATCTTTTTCTTTGTTGGATTCTTAGCATACACAAGTTCTAAGTAGTGTTGATGTTGCAGGTATGGTGCTGGTGTGTTTTGAGGGTGACTCTGATGGCTACATCAATCTGGTGGCATATCCATATGAAGAGAGCGAGGGGCTGGACCATGAAGAGCTGTCCGAAAGAGATCAGCCTCGCCGAAAACACTCTCGCCGTAGCCTCCACCGCTCCAGCAGCGAGCACAAAGAGGACAGACCTGCTCACGACGGCGACAGCAACGACAAGTGAGTGAATGCTGGTCCGTATGCTGGTCATTTGTGTAACAGAATCCACTGCTGATGACAAGATGGAATCATTTTCTTAGCTACAGTCAATCTGTATGAAATAGATAACCATACTTTGGACTGAAGATCTTTGGATCAAGAATTGTTGTCATTGGCTCTGGTATTTAAACACAATTATCAACCTTAGCAAAGAAATTGAAAATTTCTGACCAGAAAATAAGATGTCCCAGGGTACCCTCAGCACCTTTACACTTATCACATATGGGGTAGGATCAAAATTGTTAAGCTTTGTTTATTTACTACTCATTTTTTACTACTTATTTACGTTACGTTGTCTGATTTACGTTACGTTACGTTGTCTCAGATTACTAGGGGTGTGCCTCAGGGCTCAGTTTTGGGCCCTCTTCTGTATATTATTTATCTGTTGCCTTTAGGGCAAATCTTCCATAAATTTGGTATACATTTTCATTATGCTGATGGCACCCAGCTCAAAATCATTAAGCTTTGTTTATTACAGTTTTTACTACTTATTTACGTTACATTGTCTGATTTAATTGTTGGATACAGTTGCAAACAGTGTTATGTTAGTGTCAAATTACTATTATAATTTTTATTATTAATTTTGAATCCCTTTTTTATTTTAAAATTTTTTAATTTAAGTCTTAGTTATTTTATTGTGTTTTTTGTCACTTTTAGTTTATATATACTGTATATGTATATATATATTTATGTTTTTTATTTTACTTTTACTTTCGCTTTTTATTTTTATTTTTTGCAGCCCTGGTTGCAAAGGTCAAGACCTCAGAGGTGGAACAGAACAAAATACATAAATTTATACAAAAAATCATATTTGAACCTCTAATTCTTATATAAATGTAACCTCAAGTATATAAATGTACCTCAAGGTGAACCCTATTCATGAAAAATGGCAAAACAAATATTCAGAGAATGGGTTTTTCCAAACACATTAATTATGAATCAGCATCAAGCTGAGCTCAGATTATATATTCTTTGGATCTTATGGCTTAGCAGTGAGAAGTTACTGAAATTGAACTGATTGCATTGGAAATGTGTTGTCTGTGATAATAACAAAAATAGTGCTTCATAACAAGTAAATCTGTCTGAATCAAACTTGTGTATTTGTCAATCAACCATTCCCATATAAAATACATTCATTTTAAGAATTTCACAATAACAAAACATTCTCAACAGTCACACTTGCACTGCATTATTGGTAATTAGTGTGTCTGTGTAGTCTGCAGGAGTTGAAGAGTCCTCGTCTGAACCTACAGATGCATTCAGATGTGCCCTTCCAGATGCTGGACAGCAACAGCGGCCTGAGCTCAGAGAAGATCAGCCACAACCCCTGGAGTCTGCGCTGCCACAAACAACAGCTCAGTCGCATGCGCTCTGACTCCAAAGACAGAAAACTCTACAGTATCCTGCTCTAAAACAGCACAGTTTATTCAGAAACTTTGGTTTGTAGTGTGTAGTTGATGGAGAAATTCAGTTTTACTTTCTGGAAAGCAGTCAACTATATTAAATTGCTTGAAACTGCTTGCTGAAATTGTAATTGCAGTAATACGCTACCTGACTGAATAGTCTTCTTTTTATATTAAATAATTTAGAGAGGGCCTAATTACTTTCGCCTGTGGCATAAAATGGGAGAGAGGTCCCCACTTCAATACGAAGTGACTTGAAAACGAAAAACAAGGACCAAATCCTAAAAGTTATTCAGTAGCTTGTTAACCTTAACTCCATGCATCAACACTAAAAATCATGCATGATGTAAATCTTTTTGCAATTAGCAGCCACTCTTCTGCTTTCATGGTTCCATGAGTCATATGTCATCAGGGCTTGCATTTTCTAGAAAATGCAGTTGAGCGTAAAAGTAATTGAAACATAGACTTGTGGGTTGTTTCTCAAAAGCATTGTAACATCTGATTAAATATGATGAAGTACGTATATATGTAAATATGTAATTCACCACAGCTGTAAAGTGCTGCAAAATCAAAAAAAATATGGTAAAATGCTTGAAAAGTGCTTAAATTTGACATCTAAAGAAAGGTGTAAGAAACTGTATAGTGATATGTGTACAACAGTATAGCCAATAGTGGAAAGACTGCTATTATTACCTTTTTTTTGTTGTCTTGTAAAGACAAACGTTATCCCAAAAACTTGAGGCAGGCAAGAGTAAATTTTTATGCCATGCACAAATATTCCCGAGTAATTTGGCATCAAAGAAAGGAGGAAAGTCTTTCTTTCAGTAGAGTGATCATTTTTTCCACAAGCTGAGCAACAGGAAGCAGATGTTCATGTTTTTAAGACTCTAATTGGAATTTCTCCAAAATCCTCATTAATCATAAATGATTTAGTTTGCTTCTCAAAAGAGAGAACTGTTTGTTTCTATGAGAGGCTTTGGCTAGAAATGATTGACAGGCAGATTGTGATAACATTGTCAAGCTCGTCAAAGTTAATGGTCTTATGGGAAACACACACTCTTCTTTTCGATGGCTTTGTCCAGTAATACGAGGGATTGTCCGGATAATTAAATCTTCAGCTATCATTTAGTATCTCTTCACAAAAAATAAAGCTGTAAGTTTAATTGCTTCAAAAACAGCACTGTTACCGCCGCACTGCTAAGAAATATAATGTAGCTTTTCCGTTTGAAAGCTGTTTTACTGATAAAAGTTGACTGGAACTACTGTGCCTTAAACGGTTCTAACACATCCATTCCAGGCAATCGGAATTGAGTATTCAGACAGACATTGATGTAAATCCATATAAAAAAGCCTTGTGCATGTATGTTTCCTCTGTTGTCTATGATTCTTGACCATAAACCTCCACCAGAATTCCTGCTGCTGGAGAACGTAGTCCATCATTTCGTCTACCCCTGCATCCTGGACTTGAAGATGGGCACCCGGCAGCACGGTGATGACGCGTCAGAGGAGAAAGCCGCCCGCCAGATGAAGAAGTGCGAGCAGAGCACATCTGCCACATTAGGAGTGCGTGTGTGCGGCATGCAGGTGTGTATGTCTTTAACCCAAGACACGCTTAGTGGAGCAACAGCAATGACTGATGTTTTTACACTGATGAAGTGTGAACTGCCTTTGTTTGTTTTTTATTTTGTATTGTTCTCTGAGGTCCACTTATAATTTTATCAAGATTTTTAAATCAAAAAACATAAGTTAGAAGTAATATTTCCTGCCCTCATCAGAACGCTCTGTTTGAATAGGCTTGGACAGAGTTGGGTATAATGCATTACTGTATTCTAATTACTTTTCCTGATAACGCAGTAATGTAATGCATTACATTTTAAATATATGTAATTTGATTACAGTTACTAATGTCAATAAAATTATGTTACTTAAGTTAGAAATGCAGTGTTAAAAATATGAAGTAAAAATCATGTTTTGCGAGTCAGTATGCCCTTTAATAAATCACCGGAGATTGCGAGCTAAAATGCAGACGAGTCCTACAACATTTAGATGCAATGAAAGGTTGCCATTGATCATATTTCAAATGTTGCACTCGATTTCACATATTTTAGTCTGGCATTATAGATTGGGAAAAGTTCAACTAGTAAATGTGTACAAGTTTATGTCACAACGCTAATGTGAAAAATAAATGACTCATCTGAATGATATCAGACTGCCTTCAGTATAAGCTGTTTTTAGACTAACGAGAAATTTTGAGTTCTGAAACTTGCAGGATGTTTTTGCAGCACAATGACCTCAAAATGTCAAAAGATCAAGGGAATTTTGGTTTCTCAGTTCATGACCCCTTTAAAGGTTCTTCATTGGCATCCATAAATAACTTTTACCATCCATAGAATCTTTCCATTGTATTGTACAAAAGACTCTTTTTAGTGGGAAAAGGTTCTTCAGATGTAAAATTTTCTTCACATTTAGAAAAAAAGGGTTATTATAAGAACTGTTCACTGAAAACTTCTGTTGAGAGCCCAAAATGGTACATTTATGGCATCAGTGCAGGAACCCCTTTTGGAAGCTGTATTTTTAAGAGTGTAGTTAGTTAACCTCGGCCTCTTGTAGGTGGCTTAAGTTGGAAAAACTAAAATAGGACAGGAATCCCTTACATTGGCATGAAAACTAATTTCAGCGTAGTCATTTGTATGAAAATCATTTGTATGAAAATTATGCTTGAAACAAGAAGAAGAAGAAAATCTGCAAATTGAGTAAGAAAAATAGACTTGTTTTTGCTTTGAATTGTATTTATTTTTATTTATTTATTAACTTTTATTAAGTTTATTTTTATTACCCCACTGGCAGATATTTGCTCACATAATAGTCAGCATTTATGATTTTTGTCATAGCACTAGGTGATGCAACATAATCAATGTTAAAAAATATGGTTGTGTTTGGAGAAAACAAGAGATTTGAAGCCAACAAGTAATATTTCACTTTTATCAGCACTAAGTGTAATAAAGCAGGTGTCCAGCCAGAGCCTGAGATTGTGTACACACACAGATAGATAAATGACAAATACTATAAGTGTCCATGATAAAGAAAGGGAAAAAATTAAGAAGTCATGTGCCAGGTTTGGGGGGGTTTTATTGCTAGAAGCCATTTCTCAATACTTAGGCCACTTTTCAAAGCTCTTCACACACAGTGAGCTCAACAGCATTTATGTGGCTAAACTGTGGATCATTTATCATTGCTTTGCCATTCAGTTTGGCATTCAGTCTCATTTAGACACAATCACTGCCAGAACTCTATATAGCTACAACCCAATTGGCACTTTATATTAACATATTGAAATATATACCAAATATAAAGCCTTTCAATTTCATTACCATCTTTACAAGACGGGAACTTTGGAATAATGTCATACTGTATTGTAAATATGGATGTAACTTATATTGCAGTGAATTCTAAACAGCAGAGAGCTGTCATTCTTGTTTTGTAAAGAAACGTTCTGTAATGCCACGTGTTGTTAGTGTTTCTTAGGTCTTTGTTTTACGAGTGACAGAGTGTGTTTGTTAGGTGACAACCTTTGCTAGTGAGGCATGTATGAAGTGATTTGGTAGTTTTAGTGCATTTTGGATGTGAAATTAACTGCTGTGCCAAGCTGAAAAAGTGAACAAAGTACTGCTAAATGTGTCTCAGCAACGGTTAAAAAAAACTGTAATAACTGCAATGTAAATGTCATGTGGTGTAACCATCAAGTAAAAAGTAATCATAACTTTTTATTTTATTACTTTGCTTTTACACAGTTTAGTTTAGGGAGCAGTTCTCGCTATTAACTTGGCTCTTTTTAGCATGCATTTTTTCTCACATGCTGTATGCAAGCCTGCAGGTGCAATGAAAACACATCGATTGAGAACGTGACTGATATCGATATATAGACCTGTATAGGAATGGCAGAAAATTTCTTCAGTCTTTTTCAAAACTGAGGTGTGAACAATAGGGACTAAAACGGGGGGATTTCATTTCTGTCCATAGATTGATCAAAGCGTATCTGGGTAACAACACAGTTTGGAAGGTGGATTCTTTTTGCACTCTCTTCTTAATAACATTTTGTTGTTTTTTTATCAAAAGTTACATAAAAGAAGCACTCAAACTGAATATTTCCGAGTGTCAAATTCCTTTTTGTGGTCAAACCTGTGATAAACTCTTATATTAATGACATGTGACAGATGGAATGGGATAAATGTCATGAAAATAAGCTATATGAAACAAATCCAAAACCACCATCATGCCTTACTTGCCAAACTAAAAAGACTGTGAAGCATATTTTATTGGATTGTACTGTTTTTAATGTGAATAGACAACTGTTTTATTCAGAGGTGTGTCTAACTGATTTATTTTAAAATGTATTACCTAAAAGTATTTTAGAATTTTTGTCTAGTGTGCATTTTAGTGTACCTTTTGTTAATTGTATACCTTGTATAATTTATTCAGAGATCGCCATGAAAATAGCGTTGATGCTGGCATGGCGATAAAAAGTGAATAAATAAATAAATAAAAAGTTACATTGAGTAGCCTCAGTGGCCGAAAGAAAAAGCCAAAGAAAGGCTTGAACACAGCATGATCAGGCCTTGACCGAATTTAACAGGCAATTTATTTCCTCTAAATTACAACCCACATTGAGTCTTTCCGTCTTTCCTCACATGTGTGTTTTCCCAATCATTCAAGCCCCCCATGTCTCCTGTGTTTGCTCTGCAGGTCTACCAGATGGACACCGGTCACTATCTATGCAGGAACAAGTACTACGGCCGCAGTCTTTCTATCGAGGGATTTCGACACGCACTCTTTCAGTTCATGCACAACGGGACGCAGCTGCGCAAAGACCTTTTCGAGCCCATCCTGAGCAAACTTTGCAGCCTGAAGGCTGTGCTGGAGCGCCAGGCCTCGTACCGCTTCTACTCCAGTTCGCTGCTCATCATATACGAGGGCAAGGACCCCGAGTCTGTGGACGCTGGCTGGCAGAGGGCCTCGGAGCCGGAGAGGCTGGGCTGTGTGGAGAGCCCGCCGGCCTCGGAGCCCCACACGCCTCCGCAGACGCTGAGCGTGGATGTGCGCATGATCGACTTCGCCCACAGCACCTTCAAAGGCTTCCGCGATGACCAAACCGTCCACGACGGGCCTGACCGCGGATACGTGTTCGGACTGGAGAGCCTCGTCGACATTTTGCAGGAAATCCGTGACGAGAACCAGTAGCTCCAGCCAGCAGCTTTTCATAGAGAAACAAAGATGTTTGTCAAGATTGCACATTGACACAAACCTGAAGGTGTGTTTGAACCGTGAGGGATTGGTGTACACAAGAAATGGAGGTGACCTCTACCCATAAAGGGTCTTGTCTCTGCTGTCAGGAAAGAAATGGCTCAACAGAAGACGGTTTCAGTTTGTTTGGCACATGGATTCATCGCCACCATGTGGCCCACTGAAGCACTGCAGGAATGAACCATGAACTCAGGCCGTCAGCTGTCATGGTCTCTCTTAGAGTGTGGCATTGCTAAAGAGAGAGAAAGTGTGTGTGTGTGTGTGTGTGTGTGTGTGAGTGTGTGAGTGAGTGAGTGGGTGAGTGGGTGAGTGAGTGAGTGAGTGAGTGTGTGAGCGTGTGAGCGAGCGTGTGAGAGTGAGCGTGTGTGAGTGAGTGAGTGTGTGAGCGTGTGAGAGTGAGTGTGTGTGAGCGTGTGAGAGTGAGTGTGTGTGTGAGAGTGAGTGAGTGAGTGTGTGAGCGTG